TTGCATTATGTCAGGTAATATTGGTATTACAGAAGCCACGCATACCTTGTACACAAAAATGATTCATTCAGAACTTGGAATTGAAATCAACCCACTTTCTTCTCAAAACATTCTGTAATTCAAAGCAGTTTACCTGGCACCGGAAAACGCTGAATGTCAAACGTCTACAACATATGAAAGCTACTTGAGTGGCGGACGTCACAAAACTATGATTTTTAATTGCTGTAGTTCTTATTTTTATTTTGATCATTATTATCGTTCTCAATATCGGAGCCCCTCTTTTTTCAGCAACTATGAGTGTGTCTGCGTCACCATACCTTGAAGTGAAAATTTATCCGCAATAGATTTCCGAAAAATAAAGCCTTGGAAACATTATCTCTTGCCAGAGAGATGCACCACCGAATGTGCTACCAAGAATGCAATCATCAATACACAGTTGTACTGTTTAGGTGCACAAGTTTGGCTGAGGCAGTACGTCGTCTGCAGCTCTGCCGGGAGGAATGCAATGGCTCTGGTGTGTCTCTGCATTGATGTTACTTAAATTTGTTCTCGAAATTTCAGGTCTGTCAAACCTTCCTACTTCCAACAAATAACTCAGATATTCATTATTACGTAAGATCAAATAAAGCAAAATTATTGCTTTCTTCAAATGAATCTTCGGAGAGCTATCTGCCGCAGTTTTCTAAGGTTACAAGTTTTTCAGTTCAGCATTCCATGACAACTATGTAGGTTCGGCCTCATTCTTGGTTTAGGAAGGTGTGAGCTCTAGAGGTCTAGTGCAACAATACAGGATTTCATTCAACAGCAAGAACTGTTAAGTTTTATATCGTCAGCCTAACCACACACCTATCACTACCCACGAGATGAATCATTAGTTTGTTTTGATTCACTGTTAGTTGTATCGGAATGCATAGTTCCAAAGATTATTCTAGGTACACTACTTCAGATATATCAGTATCCAGTGTGGCACACCAGTTTCGGTGTATCAGCGATAATCACTGAGATATTACTAATGCGTTGAGCGGTTGTGTTGTTATCCAATCAGGTATTTTCTCAACAGTTACGAGAGTAAGTGTGGCGATAATGGCCGTAAGATTTCGGTACCTCCTTCAATGGTCAGTCTCCACATTTTGCTAAACAGGTCTCGTAACAGACAACATGGTGGCCGAGGAGAAGTTCCAAAATAATGATTATATTTAGGTATTTAGACAGCTTTTCGCGGGTTTCTAAGGGATCCAGCTGCGTACGCTGCATAAACAATAGCCTTTTACGTTCGTGTTGCCAAGCTTAGCTTACATCTTGTTATTATGTTTGTGATTAGCATCTGAACTGGCATGTCTCGGAATTCTTTATCAATACCAACCGGACATTAATCAGTCTAAACTTTGCGGACAAAACAACGTATGTGACGACGTCGAGCAAATATGCTTCAGTCACTTTGTTGCCAAAAGGTTTACTAGATGCCATCGAAGGATCTTCCCTGCTGACAATAATTGACCGCCTTTGCACCGAACCATACAAAGGCTTCCGGGGCTATAAATCAGCTAATCGATAGGACTCAAGAACAGTGCCGATGTTTTCTCTCAGACAAATGGAGTGGCGGTTTGGCCTACACTGAAAAAAACACTTGTCATCATTTTGCGGCATCTCAGAAGCGCATTGAACTACTTATAAAACGGTAATGAACATAGACTGTTCGAAAATTTGATCCACATGTTGAACCCTGTAGAAAAGTTTGCGTTCAGAACTGTGGGTTCAGCGAAAGCGGAAACAGTATGATTCAATATTTTACTGCATGTTGTAGCCCATATTTCGGCCCCTGAGTCAATTCCTATCAGCCATTCAACTTTAATGTTACATTCCTTTTTTTCTGTACGTCGACCTTTTGGTTTAGTCATTCACCTGACTGGTGACATTCAACGGGAAGCTTTAATTTGGTTAAATAATCCGGCTTGTTCAGGATGACTGTTAGTTGGCTTTCGTCCAATTGTTTTTCTTTAATTTCCTCACTGCATCGAGTCTGTTCCATGTAGTAGTTAGAACAACCAGCCTTGTGGAATCCCGATTCTGTTGTACAGGCAAAGCAGTGAAATTTCAACCGAGGTTATCAACTCCGCATCTACACAGTCCCCTTGTCGGTTTGCGACTAGCTTCCTTTGACATGTTCACTTTTGAACGAAATGTACAGTCAGAATTTGGGTCGGGGGGCATCTTGAAAAAGTAAATAGGAGGTTTTCAACGAGACCATCAAATTTTTTCCCATTGCGTTCATTTAATATCCAGTTCTTTTGGCTCCGAAAACTATTCACCGATGAATACACAACCAGTCTTGTGGAATCCCAATTCTGTTGTACAGGCAAAGCAGTGAAATTTCAACCGAGGTTATCAACTCCGCATCTACACAGTCCCCTTGTCGGTTTGCGACTAGCTTCCTTTGACATGTTCACTTTTGAACGAAATGTACAGTCAGAATTTGGGTCGGGGGGCATCTTGAAAAAGTAAATAGGAGGTTTTCAACGAGACCATCAAATTTTTTCCCATTTTCCGTACAGGATATGATGAAAAAGCAAACTTTGGCTCAAGTAACCTTTGATCATTTTGAAATAAAGATGACATACTTATCCGGGATTAAAGTTGATGTTCACCGTCGAAATAAACGTCCGGAATAGGAGGCGGTAGCGTTTGTTGGGAACACGAAAACACTCCTGATTATATCATCGCTCACATGACTTAAAATTCTTCATTTTATACTTGGAAACTTCAATGATGGACTGAAATAACTTTTGAGCTGCATACTTTACCCTCACGTTGGAAAACGGCGTGTGTTTAGCGTTATTTCGGTCCAGTTTGTAACGATGAACATTTAAGACTTTCGGTATCGTCTGAGCATTGTGCTTTAATCATGTATTAGATATCTTTTGAGGTTGAAAATTCATCTAAAGAGGTTTTTGCGGCATCCGCGATCTCCGGAGTACCAGTTAACATCCCAAGTTGATTAATTAATCGAAGCATTGTAAAACTTCAGAAGATATTCTGGCCTCGTAAATACAGATCCACCGTCTTTACATTCGTTGTCTTTACATTCCTGGAGTCCTGATAGCATTTCAACGTTTCCTATTTCATTGGTTTTGTGACTTCAGTGAAAAGGCAGAAGTTATCAAAAGGAACCTCGCCTGAATAGAGGTTTTTCGGCATCCGCGATCTCCGGAGTACCAGTTAACATCCCAAGTTGATTAATTAATCGAAGCATTGTAAAACTTCAGAAGATATTCTGGCCTCGTAAATACAGATCCACCGTCTTTACATTCGTTGTCTTTACATTCCTGGAGTCCTGATAGCATTTCAACGTTTCCTATTTCATTGGTTTTGTGACTTCAGTGAAAAGGCAGCAGTTATCAAAAGGAACCTCGCCTGAATGGTCACTGATTAGCTCTTGTTAGTGACAGAAAATTTGCCGGTAATCTCAACCATTGCTTTTTGGGGACATCATATGCACCATTTGGGTTGAACGGGGCAGTGTCAAATGCAACCGCGTTGTGTGATGTAATATACTTTTTGACACTCAAACCGCTGTATTGTATATTGCTGCCACCCATAAACACCTACTAAAATGAGAACAACTTGGAGGGTAGTATGTGCCGCCCAGTCCGTTTATAAATCAACCGCAAAGAAGAACACTTGTGTTAATCCCCATACCCAGAAATATGCTGCTTTAAATACTTTACAACAAAGGTGGGTGCGGTATATTCAGTGCTTTACTACGTAGTTGACAGCTTTCAATAATAAGACTAAGAAGCCGAGTAATATGCATCAGTACTTGCATCACCTTGGATAATCGCTGTCATAATTTTCTGTTGTTTGCAGAACAACAAACGGTGACAGCAAAATTCCAGCCTGCGGATGGTATGCTGAAGGTTGGAAGCAAGGATGTGATAAACTGCATACCAGAAAGCGCAAAGTCAGAGGGAGTAACATGTGAGATATCTGTCGATGATAAAAAAACAGACCTAATCTCGATCAGCAACAATAAATCCCAAATACAGCCTCCTAGTATGCATGACACTTATCCAAAAGAAGGAGAAACTAGTGTGACATGCACTTGCAAAAAGACATTACCACAATCAGCTAGTGGAACGGCAAAGTTGACAGTCAAAATTACAGATGAGCCATTATTTTCACCCAGAGTGTATTCACATTTGTTCCTCTTTTTTTAACACAATTTCGTTTATCCAGAATGTTGGTTCTTAAACTTGGCCATGAAGTTAAGTTGCGTTTGTTTTGCAACGAATGTTGTAAGAGATCATGGCATTCGGTAAAAAAACCAGCAAATGCATCATGCATCTGTGGAATATATACGACAGTTTTCCATAAATTGGCTCTTGATTTACTGGTACTTATTCATTACGATTAATTAATGTCTAATAATAGTTATATATCATAACGACCGATGTGTGTTGTGTGATGGCCAATGTTTCGCGTTAAAACAACACTGATAACTAAACCTCACCGCGGGTTGACGACTGTGTACCCCCATTACCCATACTTGGGAGTATATGTTCAACAATGGCCGCTGGGTGGAGATTCGGTTAACCCATTCTTCTCGTCCTCCAGTTTGTTGGTTTGAACACCGGTGGGAACTTGCTCCTTGCCTTAATGGCCTTACGCCAAACACCACCGCAATGTGTTTAGGCATTAGAATAAAAGGTTCTAGTTGAGAAGTATGAACATCATCCTGTACCCCCGCTCACGCACCTTCGTGAATTCCACCCTTACAGCCTATCTCGTTAGTCATGTGTTGTGAGTAGCCATATCGTCTCCATTGATACATACAGCAGAGTGAGCAACGTACGAGCTACGAATTGGGTATCATCTCCTTTTTCCAGTGGCATCTTTGTGTGTTAAAGCTGACGGATAATTTTGCCATCTATTGCTGTCACCTGGAATGTTTATAGATACCGTGGGCCACCATGGCCAGAGACACTTGAAAATCATCCTACAAAATGTCTCGCTTAGTTCACCTCACAGAACTTAAAATTCGCACTCTGAAACAGGCTAGACAACAGACTACTCTGGCATGTACGTTAGACTCACTTTATGTTGATGTGTGCTGTCTGCATAAAAAGGTTTCAAGACCCAAGAATGGTTGCTAGAATTATCTTCCCACCGGTATTATGCATTGGCCAATGGTTGCACATCTCCCAAAGCCACTGTTATTTTCGGTTGTTATTACACTTAGCCACTGGGTTGAAGGATCTCGGGTAGATAACTTGTTCACTGATGACGCCCTTTTGCGATTTGTTCGCAACTTCTATGATATTATCTGTTCAGGCACGATACTCGCTGTCCGCTCATCGTGGCTGCTCACACACAAAGAGAGTGCAGCTGAAAATCTCTTCCGACGCACTAAAGGGCTTGCTCCGGCGGACCAAGATGCCAGATATTGTCGTGGTTACAACGTCAACCACCAACAACCTAAGGGGTTAACCGCTGTATACTCAACAGTACTTATGGGTGCATCGGCACCCACCAATAAAAAATTCTTAGTTAAAAAAAACATTTTAACCGTATCACTTGGGTGCTAATCCAACAGTTTCTGTTTCGTTTGAATAACTTGGGGTAGCGTTACAACGCTTGATGGTTTAATTGTGACTTTGCGCATGAGCCTTTTGTCATGCACCAGAAACATGGGCAATTAAAACTCCAGCTATCAACTAGCCACCGAAACTTTAACCACCCACCCGAATTACTGATAAAACATACACACTTTAACCAAAAATCCAGACAGCTTTATAAAAATTGGCTTATTTAGTAGATGCTTTGCGTATTTCACAAAATAGCCGCTTGGAAAACCCTGATGAGCTCCTTTTTTGTATTTCCTTGTGTTTGAGGTGCTTTACGCAACCAGACAAACTATTCCAGAAAGGATCTAAATTCCGTATTCAAAAAGGTCATTATATTGAGTAAATAGCTTTTGTAAATCATGAAAAAACGGAGACAGATTTGCGTACATTGACATTGTACCAGTGCAAAATTATTGTACAAATTAGGGTGTGTATTTTCATTGAGGCAAAACTACAGTTATGCTACAAAACTGCGTAGGGTACTGATCAGCATTTATGATTATTCTGCTGCGAGCGCGTACATTACTGATGAAACTAGCGACTAACAAGTCGCCAGAGCAGTTCAAAACCCTGTCCGTGCACGTGACCAAACACTGACTTGTAAATAGTCAAGCCGCATGATAAGGTTTCCTCGTTCATGTTAAGTGTCCAAACGACAACAAGGAAAGCTCCAGCGCGCGACTGAGGATACTTACTTTCCACCAGTCTCTGTACAAATGAGGTTGTCCCTTTCCTACCCAATTCTTTGTAACCGTTCACTTCGCGTTTCGTAACAGACAGCTCCAAATCAGAAGACGACTTTGAGTTGGTCATGTTAGATCGGCGAGGTTTTCATGGGATCATACAAGATGACCGAACCCTGCCAGGAGTAGGCGGAGATCCGACGGTTTGCATTGTTATTCTGAAGCAGTGGTTGCACCGCGCCTTGCGGGAAATGAGCACGTGTCAAGTCACCAGTTGCTCTTGGATTACTCTGTCAGTGCTCGACACTCAGTCGGGTAAGGACGACAGACTGGTTCACATCGGACAAGCTGTCGCACCCGACGAGGAAACTGGCGCTGGCGCCGTTGGCCGAAAAGGAGTCTCAGGGTAAGCAGGATGCTTCCATACTGGAGGATCTGCAGACCCATCTTATTGTAGAACTTGCCACCTGAAAGACAGGACCAATGAGTTGCATTCGAATAAGCAGATTCTGTGACAGTGCCGTGGCTGACCGCTCAAAAGAATAAAGTTGCCGTCTGTTATTATTTGCAACTTGGCTGAATTGCTCTTCCCCGAGTGTTGTGCAGTTCGTGCGGTAACATGGGCTGTGGTACAAGTGGGATAAATGATGAGCTGAGGGAGAATTTTTCTTACTCGATACACTGACAGGATTCGTACCTATGCAAATAAAGCAATTGTTTGTAGACCGATTTCTAATTGTCTGACTTCTATGCCGCTGCGAACAAAACGGTTATTTGCTGTCCGAAACAAGAACGATAACAACATTTGCACATACAGTTCGAGGAAAACAAAATGTTTAATTGCACTTCTGAGCTTTCGTGGATGTCGTTCGGATGTGTGGTACGAATAATCAAATACTTTCAAACGACTCAATCATTTTCAAATCGACCTTGGATTAGGAGCAGGCGTTTCGGATGGAGGACATTACTGACACGTCACATCTGTTGTACGCAGCGGCGCAGTTTTTACAACCTTATACATTGCAATCAAGAACCTTTCGAAGGTGTGTTTACACAACTAGGCACAACCCTGTGGGATGGTGCATTTCGGCTTGCAGTGGGACTTCGTTTGATTTTGCAATCAATTCTCACACTGTAAGCTGCTTTGTAATTCCAGACACTTTGACACCACCGTTATTCAATTGAAGATATCTCACAAAATAAATAATTCACCAATTACCGATATTTCTTCCACTAAGGTGAACCTTGGTTGAGGGGAGCGGGGAGCCCTTATATGCTTCTGCATAAAGTCCAACATGTTTATAGAAGAACGCGTTCACAGAATGATCAAAAAGACACGCTAAAAAAGAGAAGTTTATAATTCATATAAATAACCAGGACCACATGTGTGATAGCATTTATTAAAACCTGCCGGTCACTAAGCGACGAAATCGACCTACACCCAACTCAACCAATTCGGGTGTACTACATTAATAACCTGCGTCACAAAGCTCTGTGTAGACATCGATATTTCTAAAATGCCCAGTATTCAGATTGTCAGGTGTTTATGTATGGACGGTCCAAGCAGCCAACAACTTTTGTGGTGCAGAAAGCAGCCAAATCCTTGGAGTAAAACTTTAACTTGGGAGAAGCTTCATTACCTTACTCAGGTCATTCTTTTCACATGCGCATAGCGTCTGGAATGACCCTTTCATAACCACGTAGCTCCTCAACACATTTAGGTTCAAACATATTTCTATTTCGTTCATACAATTTGTTCTGTTTGTGTGAAGTTTTGGTGTGCGAATCCCAATATTATGATGAGTGAACAGACATAATCATCTCACACAGTGCGGATGCAGTTGCTATTTAAAATGTCTGACGATGTACATTAAGAAATACTTTGTCTTCACGCCTGCAAACGTTTGAACTCGCATGTTTAGGCCGATCAAACCTAAAAAATAGCCTCCATAAAGAAATATGTGTGAGTGGTCAGAATTCGTCTATTGGCAGTTTGTTGACACGGCAGTCGAACAGATTTCATTAGTGCAGATTTCAGGGGAAATTATTCTATCCGCGAAAGGTGTTCTCTTGTCACTTCTTGCACCTTGGAAGTATCTTACCGCGTGTGTAACATTTATTAAAAGTAACACACAACCTACGCGTTTCTAATACCATGCAGAAAAATACGAACAAAATACTTCCAACGCATCGGTGCAACGACGAGTGTCGAAAGCGGACTGAGTTTTGCGATTCTGTTCTCGAGAATACCACTGACGCAGTCATGACAAAAATTTTAGTGCTTTGACAGAAGTTTACAGAATCCAGCTAATGGTCTTTCAAATGGTGACCTGCAAATGCGTAAATTCTGTCTGATTCAAAATATATAAATTACTCCGTATTTCTGACCAAAATGGACATGTTTGCCGAACTTTTTGCTTTCTCCGTCAATCAGGTGCTGCTTTTCGACCAGTTTGGTCTTTCTGGATAATTTCTGCGGGCCTCTTACACGGACTGTTCAGGTAATTCCATATATTTTATTCACTAGGACTGCAAAGAAATAAAAGAAGTTTTCATTTTTTGGTGTAGAATGGTGGCAGATATAGGGTTACGTCATGTGTGCTCCGGCATTCATGTTCGTGTGTTTCACTGTGCGAAATTGGCACCTTGTCCTCAGACAATTTTGTCTGTCTTGTTAATAGTGGTTAGCACATGTTTATTCTGGCTGGCCTTTTGCTCTGAATGGCATCTCAAAAACGAAGAGCATTTGAGTGATTATGTAAGGGTATCTCTTGCTTGTAGCACAAGAATGTTTATGGAAATATTGCTGAGACAAAATAAAGCGAATAAAACTATCCTTGGCGATGTGTACACTGTTTTTGTACACTTCGCCTCAGCAAAAATGACTGAACGTCCTAAGTTTACCATATAGTACGCAACCGAACAACGGTGTTTCACAATGCACAGCATGATTAAAAATGAGCACCATCAATGTTTCACGTTAACTAAGAATCTTCCTTTATGTTGATTACATTGGAATTCAAAATCGGCGGCGGCAACCAGTAATTTCGGGCACGAATAAAACTATCCTTGGCGATGTGTACACTGTTTTTGTACACTTCGCCTCAGCAAAAATGACTGAACGTCCTAAGTTTACCATATAGTACGCAACCGAACAACGGTGTTTCACAATGCACAGCATGATTAAAAATGAGCACCATCAATGTTTCACGTTAACTAAGAATCTTCCTTTATGTTGATTACATTGGAATTCAAAATGGGCAGCGGCAACCAGTAATTTCGGGCACTCTGAAAGCACTTTGTTAGGAAAACCTCGATGACAACCAAACCAGTCTGTCACCACAGTAGCACACAGTAGCATCACCACCAGCTGGACAACTGCGTGCAATAGTTACGAATGAAAGCCGATGATCTGAGTATGTGGAGGTCTACAACTAAACACTGTTGTGACGATTTGTCGGTTTTCGTGGACTTTTACTTAGAGGAATCAATACTAGAAGATATGCGTGTGTCACTGTGGGCAAGACTGGGTATACATTAGTGAGTATATAACAGCTGATGGGCCCCTTCCAGTGGACCTAATCCAGGGAGATGACTGTGGCTGTGGCGTTCACAATGTTCTGCCCGTTCATTGCCGCACCTCTCGTGGAACGTATTCACTATTCTTTTGATTGCGAGAACGTGCTGTCCGAAGAATTTGGTCGACGGACACCGGGCGCTACCGCAAAATATCGCGAACCAGCTATTTGATGCACTTCAGGACTACTTGTTTGATTTTCTCACCAGGCTCTGGCTTTTGATTGAACGTGCTGTCCGAAGAATTTGGTCGACGGACACCGGGCGCTACCGCAAAATATCGCGAACCAGCTATTTGATGCACTTCCTTCAGACTTGTTTGATTTTCTCACCAGGCTCTGGCAATGTTTCAAAAACCTCAATGCTCAAACACTGAAGCCTGTGTAACGTCTCCAGTGCACAGCGGTCTATGTTTTAAACTCATATCAAAATGGAAGAAAAAGTAATCATCCTATGTAACCATCAATACATTATTGCGTTACTGTTTGCTAAGCATTCATATTTGACCTGCAAACGTCACAAAACATCTTGAGATCCTAACGCCTTCGTCTATTTTTTCCAGACCAATTGTATCGATCACCCATTAGTGGTTAACAGACGGGAAGAATGCGCACCGGATGCATGAAACCGTCTCGCTTGTTGTTTCACTCTAACGACTGTTTGCTTGTTACATAAGACAACATCTAACCATGCCATCACAGATAAATTCCAGCCGTCACAGTTTCCATCCGCAGTCTTTAACATACGTTTCCGGTTTCTAAACATGCCACGTGTTATTTATTTTAGCCATCAAACAGTGTCAAATATGCGGGCCAATATATGCAGCTGATCGCAAATTAAAAAGTTGCACTTCCTGTAAAATTTTGCTTGCTGAAGAATTCGATTCAACGAGATTCGGTTTGACCAGTGGGGACGTGTGGACATGCATCAAGCGCACAAGTATAGTTGAACTGATGTGTGTCAATCACTTGTAAAATTAAAACAAGAGAAACCTGTATACGACAATAAACAAAACATCCATATTGCTGATCACATTTGCCGCACTTTGATCGAAAAAGGGTCTATGTTCATAGTTCTGTGGTGGCCTCGGTCGTAAACTTTCGGATTTTCTGGGTTAGAAAACTTTAGATTCTTTGCAGGCAGTACGTTTTTCAGAGATAACTTTTGGTTCGTGGCTGAATACACTCCTCAGTGCAGATATCCGTGGTGTCACATTGCTCAAGCATTGCTCCCATTCCAGTGGGAGAAGCATCAGCAATGATGGTCTAATGACCTTTGGTGGAAAATGGTTTCGGAAAAGCTAAAGTTTGAAGACGACCAGACAATGCACTCAACATCTATTCATGGTTGAAGGACCAAGAAAATTGACAGGCAGATGTGAGATTAAACAAGCAACTTGCATGTTTAGCAAAATTAAGGCAAACGAAGACTACTGAAGTGCTCTTAGAAAAAATGCAGTGCTTGTGGATTATGTGGTGATGGCACATTTTCTCAAAAGGAATAGACGGTTTGTATCGGGGTTAAAACCACTCCCATCCACAATTTGGCCAAGACATTTGAGCGGTGGAGCTGCAAAATTGCATTTACACTGTTACAGTTACTCTTTACAAGGCGTAACAAATAGCACGTTTGTATTCAAATTGATTTTTGTGTCCAGCATTTGCATTATTAAAACAAGAGAATAATGAGACTAAAGAGAATAATAATAGTGCCTTAATCAAGTTCTTCACAAAACCGCAGACAGGGACAAAGAAATAAATATAACGCCTTATGCTTCCACCGGGCTGTTTACTGGAGTGTCATTCAATCTCTCGAAAATATTTTGGTGAATATTTCGGGCGAACAAATCATTTGAATGATCATGACCATGTTCGCGAAATTTTTGGAAAATTTTCGCGCGCTTGTTCTCAGCTGGCTGTCTGAATGAGCCTAAAAGTACTAGCAGCAAAGGTTATGTGGCTGTTGCAATACCTTAGGTATACCATTTTCCATTTTATAGACGTTGTCTTTCAAGCTTACACCTGGTCATCCTGCGAACATATTTTCACTCTTTC